TTCTCAGAGCGGAGGAGTAAGGTATTAAGATGGAGCAGCTTTTGGAAGAAAAGAAGATTATGCTTGACGTGAAATTTAGTTCCGTAACTTTGCAGTGTTATAAAAAAAATTTTTTTTGAAACAAGACTTCTCGAAACTGTATCATAATTCGCAGAGTAATCCATGAAGTAATCTTCGCTAAATGTGAAATGCCTTTTAGGGAGTTGGCAATCAACCTTCAGAAATCTTTTATTCAGTTCTTAGTTTTACTTAGAACATGTCAACAGGTTTAGTCTTGAAAGGCAGTTGAACACGTTGCATTAGAGTATTTGGCTACACCAGACCTGATTGGGTAAAAAGTTGTATTTGTGTTTGAAAGGAAAAGATTGATGTGAAGAGTGATAACATTAACTTCAAAAAATTTTAACGGCCGTAAAATAAGGCGGAACAGTGAGATTTTTTAATTAAAGTTTCCATTTCCTTAAAGTTTACAGATAATTGTAGTGTATACTCGGTAATTTGATTTACAGACATGATTTGAATACCTTTTTAATGTTGTTTTCATTTATGGTATTCATTGAAAGACTTCTTAATTTTTCGTAGCAATTAGTCTGTTGCTTTTTTCATATGAAGTATTTAATTACAGTGATGTAGTTAAAAGTGAACAATTTTGGAAGGTGCTTCCCTGCAGTTATTTTTGCCAGCATAAGATATGAATAGAATTTTTCGATTAGTCAGGGTAAAAATGGCACATATTGTAAAAGCAAAAACTACACGAGTTGGTTAGACTGGGCAGTTTGACTGCAGTTTGGGGAACAGTAGAAATGAGCAAACGTTGTTAGGTCTGCTGAGCGTTGATTGCTTTTTATGGGGGGGACGCGCTGTCGGTTTTGCCCAAATAAATCTATTGCAATTACAAATCAGAGGAAGATATCCTCAAATGGTCTTAATGAAAGAAATCGTATTGTAGGTATGTTTTTTTTTTTTCTATGTGAACGGTCTAAAAACTGTTATGAGAGCAAAATGCGTCTTAGAGCGAAAGACAGCATTGTAGAATTTGGATGAGTGCCAGTGCCTAAAATATGTTTTGAGTTCCTGTTAACGTATTAGAAACTAGAATTGCGGCTATGGTATCGGAACTTGTAATTTATGCGTAACATTGTTAGGCGTCAGATATTGTAGTTATATGAAGTGTTCCTCAATTACTGATGTTTAGCCACTATCAGCCTACTAATGAATTTTTGTGAAGGGTTTGTTTTTTCCTTCTCAGAAGTTTATGTAGATCTTATCATTTTAGGTTTTGTTGATGTGTCAAAGCCTTACATTTTGTAGGATTTTTCCTGCGAATTTTTGTACCTTGTTTGGAGATTAATTTCAAAAGTGTTCTCTTTTAGTACGTTGCTTATAAATGGACTGTCTCTTTTATATACTTGTGCAGTTACCTTGTGTAATAGTAGAATTTTTACTTTTTTGTTTGCTGTGTGGAGTTAGTATTTGCAGAAAAACGTTTTTTCCGCTCTTGTTATGCTTATTTTTTTAGTATATTTTCTACATATGTTCGTCAAGGTTACTTCACTTTCTATACAGCTTTTCTACTTATAAAAAAAATTGAGACTTTTATTAATGAATTTTTTCTTTGAGCTTTTTTTACCGTTTTATAAACTTTTGTTTAGTTGGATAGTGCAAAGTAGAGTATGATTTTACAGTCGATTTTTGGTTTTGAGATTATTGTATTCTGTCATGCATTTTTAAAAATAATTCACCACCTTTTGTTATTTAACTCGCTTTTTTTTTAGGTTTGTTTAGGATTAGAGAGAAAACTGTTGTTGCAATAAGGTTTGGTTGATGGACAGCAAACGAGGGTTGTCGTTTGCTAGGGTTGTTTCAGGCGTGGATTCTGAAAATCCACAGCCCCGATCGGAAACGGCTGTGACGACTACATCTGGTGGATCACCTCAAACAAATAATCCACAGAGCGACGCTCAACAATCGAATACGGCAGTCAGTGTGGAGAAAAAGGATAAAACAGAAAAAGCATCACAATCGTTTTTGACACATCATCACGGGCGGAGAAATAGGCCTCCAAGGCATTCAATGGATCGGGAACGCGAACGAGAGCGCGATCGAGTCGACAAAAAAGTCAAAGTTGGTGGATAATTAATTTTTCATATTTTTATACTTTTAACTTCAGATGTTTTACTGGAACGTAGTTGGGTTTTAGTTTGTTTAACCTATAACTTTCTGACACCAACTTTTTTTTTTGCTTTATCCAGTAAATGAGATTGTTTTGATGGAATTCGTTTCAGCGTTTTGTGTTTTAAGTGGTGGAAACTGTTTTTTGCTTTCTATGCTCTGTAATTGTTTAGGAAGGATCTAGCCTAACAAAATTAGAAGAACAAGAAGTTGCTCCTTCAGCCCCCACAGTAGTACTTGGTCCTGCTCCGGTACCTGCGGTCAACGCTTGGTTTAAAAACTCTTCAAAGTCTAAAGGTGCCGCTTCAGAAATTAAGGACATTTTATGAGAAAGTTGTCGGCTGTTCGTTCTTTTTCATGCTATAACAAAAGTTTCAGAAGCTTCAGCTGATGATAAACAAGCTGAAGCAAAAAGTTTTGCAAAGCTAGAAACGAAGAAACAAGAAAGTGGCGGAAAAGCTGAAAGTGCCAAGAAATTTGAGTTTTCAAAGAATAAGAAGGAAAAACAGGTAATCTTTATCAGTATATTTGGTAATTGATTTTCGTGTTTCAAAGCTGTTTGGGGGAATTGCTTCTCATGTTCTTTTTTATTTTTTTTGCTTTACAGAATACATGTAATTACTTAATTTTTCTTTTTAGAGGACATCTTTTTTTAGTTTTGAGAGACTTTTGTTAAGCCCGCAAGGTGAGAAATCAGACTTTACACAAGCTTGTTGCCATTCATTTTTTTTTTTCTTTGGAGTGCTCCTACGTATTTTTCTAGCAAAAGTCTGGAAGCTAGTAGTCGAGGTTAGGAGGGACAACTGTTAAAAAATATTTTCCTTTAGGGATTTAAGAAGGTGAAAACGTAGTGGTAATCTGTGTTATGCTTCTGATTTTATTTTTTAAAGACTAATTTTTTTACAGAATCTGGAGCCTTCTGAATCATTGACTAGTGGCTTGAAAAATGATGATAAGTTAATTCAAAATTCTCCTTCAACTGAAATCAAACTGGATGTTTCAGAGAACAAGGAGGCAGTTTTGTTCATTTTACTTATTAGGAATATGTTGAATATTATTTTGGAACCCTTTCGTAGTTGGCTAAATCTTTCCATCTGCGCTTTGTTTTAGTAATTTAGGCAATGCTTTTTTTCTAGTAGTGTTGTTAAGAAATTCAAAGTTTGCAGTATAAGTTTCGTTTGGGGGTAACATGTCATACAGTGAGGACTTTCCTCCTGAATTGTTCGCTCCTTAATGACTCTCTTTTTGACTTTTATTCTTTGTAGGTAACTCGTGTTGATGATAAAGGTTGGCCATCTCTGAATGCAGCTTTAAGCGAAGATGCGAAGTCAGAAGTAACTGCAGTGCAGTCTGTCCATAAAGGAAGCTCATCTCGGCAAGGATCTCCAAATGCTGAAAACAGTTCGAGTGATTCTAACAGACCGGTAAATTCTCTATTTTTTTTCAGTACTTCTTTTGTTTCATGCATGTTTTTTACCTTCTATTCTTGGTCGAGATAGCGAATTATTTGAAAATAGTGTCTTTGGTAGTTGCATAGTAAGTAGTAATTAGTTGCTTTGAGAACTAAAGATGTAGGCATATTTAGTTCGTTTCAAAAGTTTCAGGAAGCAAAAAGAGAGAAAGAAACAGGTGAAGGTGGAGGTTCAAATAATATTGTTACGTCAAAGAGTTCGAGAAGTGGTAAGAATTGGAAGAAATTAGATATTGACGTTGACTATGCGGGTCGTGAGGGTCAATCGAGACGCTCGAATAATTCGAAGGCTGATCAGATTCAGTTTTCTCAAAGAAATAGGTAAAGTAGTGATATTCGTAGCTGGAGGACTTTCTGTAATAGAATAATGTTTAGGTTTTAGGATTAGGACATTTTAAAATTGGTTTTTGTAGACGTGGTGCTTGTAATATAAAGCAGACGGGTAAGGAGGGTGTGGGCTCTGGTGCACCTGCAGTGGGTAGCGCAGGTGGAGCCGCAACTGAAAGTACTGCGGATAAAGCAAACACGTTCCAAGGCAACTCGGGAGCGGCTTCAACTGTCTTACAGTCATCGGCGAGTATTGGGAATGCAGATCATAATGAAGAGTACGTCGAAGAAAACTACTGGTGAGATTGGTGTCTGAGATTAGGATGCCGTTCTCCCTTTCATTTTTCGGTTGAAATGACCAATTCTCAAGTTATAACATCAGTAATAAATTTGTATTCAAGTAGACTTGATTTTTTTTTACTTTTGGTACGTGGTTAGTTTTAAGGATTGGTTGGGAAAATTATCAATTGATGGCTTTTTTAGTCGTCTGTTTTTCATTTAACATGCTGAGAGGTTTAGTTTTTTTTTCGTTTTAATTGATTTTTTAAATTGTTCCCAGTATTTTTTGTTCTTCACTGTTGTCCTTTCACTTCCTCGCCAAGCAAAGAGTTTTTACCCTCTTCTTTTACATTTGATCTGCAGCAAACGGCGTAGGTCTTTTTTGATTTAGTTGTCAGTATTTGGGGAGTCACAGTTTGCGATTGAATTCGTGTGCGGTTTTTATCACGCTATTATTCTCAAATCACTATTTCTTTTTGATAAGGGACAGCTCGAGGATTTTTATTACATTGATGCGATTGAGCGTCAGTAAGTGATACGAAGTCAGGAGCTGATTCAGAGGCTTACTTGCTCTTTACTAGTAAAGAGTTAGTTCACAATCGAACGTACTCTGATGATTTGATTGCCTGAAAGGTAGTAGAGAAGAGAAAAAACGAGAAAGGAATTCTGTTTTTAAGAATCATTGGGCTTATTTTTTGTTATCCGGCGTTAAAAGTTTTTGTTTTACTCTCCGCTTTCCGCAACTTCCTGTATTCTTTTCTCTCTCTTCCCATTTTCTTTACTTCCATTTATTTTTTGTTTTCTGTTTTTATTTTATTTTATTATTTTTTATTTTTTGGAGTATTTCTCGTCCGCGTGAGACGTTACTGCTGCTTTAAATCATTGGCACTTTCAAAAATCAATATGGGTGGGTGTAACGCAGCAAGGCATGCAGCAAATGACAGAACACCGAGTAATTATTCGGGAATAGGGCTTCAGTGCGTTTTTTTTAAATACATTTTGGATAATACTTGTGGGCGATGTGTGGTTGGCAGCGCGCCTGCATGTTTTGTTAAATGGCAAGCAGTGGCGGCGGCCCGCTTCATCTATTCTTTATTCTGCCATTAGTCTACATTTATTTTACATTTAGGTAAATAATCATAAGGAAGAAAGAGTATTTTATTAGTAATAATTATAGGGTTTGAAATGTTTTTGTCGAAATAAGGTTACACTACTTTAATTACTCGTTTATTGAAAAAATAAACATGGAAGACCATGTGTACAGATATATATATATATATATATATATATATATATATA